CGACACATTCCCATCCTATCACCGAATCAGAAAAAAAAAAGAAGAATAAAAAGAGGGGGCTGTTTGAACCCTAACTGTTCTGTCCGCCCGCCCCGTCGGGCACTCCCCATTCATTCATCCCGCCATTCTGGAACAGGAACCCATCCATCCACCCAGCAATCCAATCAATTGAATCGGACCTATTTAACTTCTATCCAGATAGACGACACGCTCAGTCCCGCTTGCTCGTGACCGAATAATCCGTCGACATGTGGATCCCGGATTCATGCTCGCGGGCGGCGTCGTGCTTGACCATCTCGTGCATCGCCTCGACGTCGTCCTGCGTCACCGGCACCGCGGTGCTGCGCAGGGTGGACAGGTAGTCCCAGTTGCGGATGACCTTCTTGCGCGCCCCGACCGCCTCGTCGCTGCCGTCGCTGCCGTGGCCGCGGGGCTTGCCCGCGCTGGAGACCTTGCTGCCGCCGAAGATGTGCGGGGCCAGTTGCAGCAGCAGCGGCCGGAGCACGGGGAGGCACGCGCAGATGATGCCCACGTTAATTTCCACCATGCTGTTGGATGGAACCAGATCCAGTCAGTTGGTGTTGTTGCACCTCGTTACGAGGGGGACGGGGGACGAGGGGAAGGGGGTTTGAGAAGAACATACGCCCATTTCGCCAGGGTCACCTTGTACCAAGTCAAGTCGCCGTCGTGGATGAAGGGCATCATGGTGACGATTCGCACAATCGCGATCACGCAGGCGCTGGAGACCGAGTTAGCCACGCAATCACACGGGCAACTGATTATGAAAAGCAGCACGGGCTAGGGGCACTTACAACGAACCCATCATCAACACCATCATCAGCAGCACCTTCTGCTTGAGGGTGGTCTGCAGCGACCAGCAGAGCCGGATGGGCAGCGCCAGCGTGATGATGTCCGAGAACAGGTTGAAGGCCGCATTGGCATACACGAAGGCCAGCTGGTCGACACACCGCGCGGTCGGCATCAGCGTCACGTCCCACATGGCCTGGACGGGGATGCAGCCGAGCGTGAAGACGAGCAGACTGATCATGTTGTAGACGGCGACGAAGATCATGATCCCGTAGGTCATCTGCCGGAAGCGCTTCTCCGGGCTGAGGCGCAGGAAGAACAGCAGAATCGAGGTCTTGACCAGCCAGATGCCGACGACGAAGACGTCCTCGCCGGCCAGATCATTCTACATGGGGTTAGTCAGGGAGTTTTGAGGGCAGATACACCACTTGGTGGGGGGAGACCAGATGCATACCTGCTTGAACGGCTTGATCTTGTCGAGGTGCAGGTCCCAGATATGAAGGCCATACCCGTTGTCGATATCTGTTCAGGTTGGACTCTTAGCTGGCTGGGCGGCGCACTCGAGAAACCTCTCGTTAACTTACTGACGATCCCGAGAATCGCGAAAATCCACGCGCAGATCTGAGCCCAGATGCAAAACCCTGGTGAGCGCCTCCGTCAGCTTGGTTGACCCAGCTGGCATCAATGCATGCAGCTAGCTTACAGTCGTCGATTGCGATCGTCTTCTGCAGGAACATCCGAGTATACAGGCGCAACAACAGGACCACCGTTCCCGTCAAGCAAAGGGCGATGTTGATGGAATAGATCTGGTAGTTTTGATTCTCCGGGTCCTCAAAGTTGGCTGTGACGCCCGGGGGCGGGTCTGACGCCGGCACCTGGCTCAAATCCAATGTGGTCGTTGACATGATGGAGTTGGGTGGAGAAACAGCTGGGTGTCCCGGTCGGCAGTGGTTGGAGCAGCAGCAGCAGCAGCAGCTCTATTTAGCATGCAATTGAAAAGAAGCGCTGCGTCAGGTCAGGAATGAACAATCCACCATGCCAACCCTGTGTCCATGCTTTTCTTTATATCCTGTCACTCCAATCAAGCCTTTGGCTCGCTCGTTCGTACTTTCGGTCCCCCTCCCGGGCCCATTGAAGAGATCATATGCAAAATGCATCGACTACCGGTATAGTCTCCTCTCCTGCATTGCATAGTCTGGGCGGGCAGGGCGATCGTACCTCCTTGGCTGACGCCCAGCTCGATGTGGTCGGACCATTACCGCCACCATCCACAGCATACCATCACCCACTGTTTCTCGCAATGGGTCCGACAAAGTGACACCTCGATCGCAAACAAACCCAAAATCCCCCAACAAGGCCCCGATCAACCCTATTGTCTCTGCCGGAGCCTGGTCTCTGCAGGAGAGGGTCCAAGCGTTGGGACATTGACCTTGTTCTCCAGACGTAGGGGGGGCGGGCTGGCCAAGTACAGTACGTGCTGGTGTAAGTTCCCTGACGATCGCACCGTTTCTGCGATTGACAGGCTAGGATCGCTGCTTGCGGAGACGACCTGTCATCCAGTCGCATCCCGAAGCAAAAAAGGCCGGACGCAAGATCAATAATTGCGGAGGCATCCAGATAGCGCAGCTTGCCCCTATCTCAGATCTTCCCCGTTGCGGGATGTGCTTGCTTTCCCTTGGAGCTGCTGGTGCAATTCCTCCTATTCTTTTGACGGCAGCGACCAAAACCTCAGGAGAAAAACAAAAGAACAGATGTCCACCGGTCGGTGAACGTGTATTTGTCAGAGATGAAGTCGAGTCATTTGGATAGATGGATTGTTTGGTGGGATTAGGCTTTGGCCAAGACGGTGGTTGCAGCGCGGAAAAAGAAGTCAAGAGATCAGGGCTTCCTTCCCCCGCTTATTCCTCCAGCCCTGATTCCGCCATCGTCAGCCTTTGCCAGCCTTTTCGCGCCCTCTCCGAAACATTTTGGTAACTTTCGTCAGAAAAGTGGCTTGGTGGCTCTGGAGAACGCCGCGAAACTTCCGCCTGGTCTTTCTGTCGTCGTCCCCTGAAGGCGTTGAGATTCCGTGAGCATCCGTGCAGAAAGGAGAGAGCAAAGGGCCAAATGTGACAGGTGTCGGACCCACTCGATGCCAGCATCATCACAACAATGCACCAGGAAAAATCTCCTGTCGATCTAATCACTGGCCCAAATGCCCCACGAATGGCATCTGGATATTCCTGCAGGTCGTGTTGCCTTTTTGAGTCTAGCCAATAAGACCCTGATTTGCCTTTCGAGATGTATCAATTTTCACCCTCTACATCGGCCGCCCTCCAATCCCCTTTCTTAGCATGCACCCCGTGCAAAAGAACCAATCTATAAGGCTTTGCGGCGCCCCTTCCCCCTTGGTCTCCGGATACAATATCCTGCCTCTCCGCCGAACTTGTCCGTGTGCGTGTGTAGCCGGTGTAACCTGTCATGGCGCCTCTCGATCCCAGCATCGATCGCATCGAGCAGTGTCTAGACGAGGTGGTGCAGTCTGTCGGCCAGTTCCGAAACCATGCAACTTCGCTTAGCCACCAGAATGCACGGTACGAATTGCTGGTCAAGGCGATGCACCTAGTGCAGGCCACTCGCGGGCCTGCCGATCTGGTCTTCGCCAATTTTGAGAATGTAAGCGTGGGCGGACAGGTCATCTATCTTTTCCGTATCACCGAGAAATTGACAAGATGCATTTGAGGTCCTTAGATGGCCAGTCTGGGCGCTATCCGCACGCTCCTCGAAGCCGAGTTTTCGATGCCATCCCGGTCGGCGGCCAGAGCATGTCAGCCACGGACATAGCAGCCCGAACTGGGGTGAGTAAGGGAATCATAGGTGTGCGATCGTGAGCTCCTTTCTCCTGGATGGAGGTGACCCGTGGCCGGTGCGTTGGGACAACGATGTGACGTGCTGCAGTGCGCATGATGCGGGCTGTCACGCCCTTCGGACCGTTTCGCGAGACCGGCGAGGAAGAGTATGCCCACCCCCCCAACTCGGAGATCTATCTCGCTCCTCCGATGCGGGCCGTCCTGAGTTTCATGTGAGTTGTCGTCCGCGTCTCAACTAGGTTGCCTTGTCAGCCAACCAGTAATTGTCCGCTCACCATCCGATGTCGGGAGACCAGGGTCGATGAATACTGCCCGGCGATGCTGCGCACCCGCGAATTCCTCCGCCAACACCAGTGGCAGGACCGCATCGGCCTGCGCAGCAACCCATACACTCTCGTGCATCACTGCGAGGGCCAGACGAAGTTCGAGCACATCTCCCAGAGTCCCAAGCGACTGACCCGACTCAACAACGCGATGGTCACCGAGGAGTCCCTCCTCGCCGAGATCGGGCTGTACCCGTTCGTGGAGCGACTGAGTCCGCTGGCGCAGGCGGATCAGCCGACCATCGTCGACATCGTCGACGTCGGGGGTGGACGAGGCCACATCGTGCGCCAGATCAAGCAGAACACCCCCAGCCTAGCGGGACGGTTCATCCTCCAAGACCGCGCCAGTGTCATTAGCGACAATGGGCCAGAGATGGCCCGCCATGGCATCGAGCCGATGGCCCATGACTTCTTCACCCCGCAGCCTGTGAAAGGTACATCACGAGGGCTATATTGACTCTGCATCAAAGTCATCCAGCAAGCTGACCCTACCCCTCCACCCCAGGCGAATTGGTGTACTACATCCGCCGCGTGTTGCCCGACTAGCCCGACGCAGAGGTCTGAGAGATCCTCACGCACCTGGCCGCCGCGATGGACCGGGAGAAATCCCGCCTCCTCATCATGGAGACGATCCTGCCCGAGGTCGGCGCCACCATGGCCCACGCCTACATGGATCACACGATGATGACGTTTGGCGGGACCGAGCGGACGGCCAAGGACTTTACGCGCCTGTTCGACGCGGCGGGGCTGCGGTTGGTCCAGGTCTGAGAGAGCCCCGGGGTGCCGATGAGGGTCGTGGAGGCCCGCTTGGAGTGATTCCGAACATCGGGGGTTGGCTTCTTGGTGAATCAGTCAGTCACCGTTTTCCTGGCCAGTCCTTTGCCAAGCTCTGCCACATGGCGCTAACTTCTAGAGTTTTCCGTCTGCTGTAAAAGTCTTAACCGGAACTACGAGTATGGTCGAGGATTTTCGGAGTGGGTGAATGTCGGATGACGATGGGTCATCGGAAGGAGTGGTTGTGAGTCTGGATGGAAAACGCTTTGATTCATGATGGTCGTGGACATTTCCTGATGGGATTACTTATGGGTGCCGATTCGGGCCAAGAGCTAGACCCGACCTGCCCTCTTCGTACATATACTAGCTCTTTAATGGACAGCTAGTAAGGCATGCGTTCATTTTCTCCTTTCCCGCGTTTTCCCCGTCGGCAACCCCAACTTGCGGGGTGAGGGAGCCGTGCTCGGGATTGTGAATAGACCCATTCACCTACAATTTCAACCGCACAACTTTAGAGAACTCCTTCTACGTGGGCTCTTTCTACATTCGCTGACATGTGTAACCTATGAAGGTATTTTTCATGTTCGCTGAGTAAACCCTTCGCCTCGGAGCCCAAATATATCCAACATAAAAGAGTTTTCTTCAAGTCAACATTACCCCAGAGGAATTGCCCCACTCCACTCAGCCATCCCTGACTAATGCTGAAGGAAGCTGAAGAAACCGGGCAGAAAGGACCGAAGCCCTGCTTAGACGGCAGAAGTCATGGCAACCATCCCCAAACAGGAGACACACATGGCACGATGTGAGTGATGATAACCTCGCACACTGTGCGAGCGAGCCACATCCTCGGGTTCTTGCACCGCAACCCCACAAAATTCTCCCCACGCAACACCAATTGCTGCAGAAAAAGTGCAGGGGAGGGCAAGAATTACCGACAGCCAGCTGGACCCACAATGCCTGCCCCGGCCCCCGAGGGATACGAGCCTGTCACGAAGCGCCAAACCCGCCACCAAGCGACACAACTCCCCCCAAACCGCGTGGCTCGGATGGGTCCCAGCGTCGAATTCCCAGAGTTGAATTCCTCTGGATTCTTGCTTTGCAGAATGTCATGGATTCGCCGGAGTTTTGCCGAGGGGTGGTGTTGAACGTGGTGGTGGGCAGTGGGCAGCACGGCTCGGCTGGTGCGACGGCGGCATTGGCCGAATTCTTTTCCTTTCCTCGTGGAGTCCCCGCATTTTCCCCTTCTTGCCTCCATCCCCGGACTCGGTTTCTCCCCGAACGCCAACCCTAACTTCCAGATGTCACACTCCACGGTCCACTTGAGAGCTCTACCTCTGCCATTTTTCTCCTTCCTAGCATCGGAGGAGACGAGTTAGACTTCAGTCACCTGGCCTTTCCCGTGCTATTCCAGTTTTCCAAGCCGGATGCCAGCCACGGCCCACGCAGACGGGGACGGCCTCGTCACGGTCACCAGTCATGTTCGCCCACGATGACGGCAGTTGGGACCTCGAGGTGGCCGATTGTTGGGCGGGCTGGGTCAGAGAGGAGAGCTGCGGAGATGGGGGTGGATTGAGCAGTTCTCCAGGTTGGAATTGTGTCTATATAAACAGCCCCCCCGCATCGCCTTCTTGATCCAGCCCCATCACAACACATCCAGCCTTCATCCGAGTCGTTGCAAGCTCGACCAGAATGAAGCTCACCGTTCCCTTGACGGCCGCAGCACTGCCTCTGGCGGGCGCAGCCGTCATTCAACCCCGTACACTCAACGTAACTGACCTCGAGCACTACTGGTCCTACGGCCGCTCGGAACCCGTCTATCCCACACGTGAGTCGAACACTGCATCACCCACCACCCACCACCCACCACCCACCACCCACCACCCACCACCCCTCGCAGTCCCACGCTAACCCTCCACAGCGGAGGCCCAAGGCCTAGGAGACTGGGAACATGCCTTCACCAAGGCCAAAGCCCTGGTGGCCCAGATGACCGACGAGGAGAAGAACAACATCACCTACGGCTACTCCTCCACCACCAACGGCTGCTCCGGCAACACGGCCGGCGTCCCCCGTCTGGGATACCCCGGCATCTGCCTGCAGGATGCGGCCAGCGGCGTGCGCGGCACCGACATGGTCAACGGCTACGCGGCCGGGCTGCACGTGGGCGCCTCGTGGAACCGGGAGCTGGCCTACCAGCGGGCGCAGTACATGGGGGCCGAGTTCAAGCGCAAGGGGGTCAACGTGGCGCTGGGCCCCGTGGCCGGGCCCCTGGGCCGCATCGCGCGCGGCGGCCGCAACTGGGAAGGGTTCAGCAACGACCCGTATCTGGCCGGGGCGCTGACGGGGGACACGGTGCGCGGGCTGCAGGAGTCGGTGATCGCGTGCGTCAAGCACCTGATCGGCAACGAGCAGGAGACCAACCGCAACAGCCCGCAGATGCTGACGGGCTCGCACAACCAGTCGGTCTCGTCCAACATCGACGACCGGACCATGCACGAGCTGTACCTCTGGCCGTTCCAGGACGCAGTCAAGGCGGGCGCCGGCTCCGTCATGTGCAGCTATAACCGCATCAACAACAGCTACGGCTGCCAGAACAGCAAGACCATGAACGGGCTGCTCAAGGGCGAGCTGGGCTTCCAGGGCTTCGTCGTCTCCGACTGGAGCGCCCAGCACACGGGGCTGGCCAGCGCCGCCGCCGGCCTGGACATGGCCATGCCCTCCTCCGAGTACTGGGACAGCAACCAGCTGGCGACGGCGGTGGCCAACGGCTCCCTCGCCGCGACCCGCCTCGACGACATGGCCACGCGCATCGTCGCCGCCTGGTACAAGTACGCCGAGCTGGAGGACCCCGGCCACGGCCTGCCGGTCAGCCTGCTGGAGCCACACCCCCTCGTCGACGCGCGCGACCCCGCCGCCAAGGAGACGATCTTCCAGGGCGCCGTCGAGGGCCACGTGCTGGTCAAGAACACGAAGCAGGCGCTCCCCTTGACCGCGCCGCGCTTCCTCTCGCTGTTCGGCTACGACGCCATCGCCGCGCCGCAGAACACGATGGACGACCTGTCGTGGAGCCTGTGGACGATGGGCTGGACGAACACGCAGACGTACCCCAACGGCAGCGCGGTGGACCCGACGATGCTGAAGTACATCTTCCTGTCGAGCGCGGACCCCAGCGCGACGGGGCCGGGGGTCGCCCTGAACGGCACCATGTACACCGGGGGCGGGTCCGGGGCGAGCACGCCGTCGTACATCGACGCCCCCTTCGACGCGCTGCAGCGCCAGGCGCGGGCTGACAACACCTTCCTGGCGTGGGACTTCACCTCGGCGACGCCGCTGGTCAACCCGGCCAGCGAAGCCTGCCTGGTGTTCATCAACGCCGCGGCGGCCGAAGGCTGGGACCGCCCGGCGCTGAGCGACGCCTACTCGGACAACCTCGTCACGCACGTGGCCTCGCAATGCAACAACACGATCGTGGTGATCCACAACGCGGGCATCCGGCCCGTCGACGCCTGGATCGAGCACCCCAACATCACGGCGGTGATGTACGCCCACCTGCCCGGCCAGGACAGCGGCGCCGCGCTGGTCGAGGTCCTGTACGGCAAGCAGTCGCCGTCCGGCCGCCTGCCGTACACCGTCGCGCGCAACGCCACCGACTACGGCGCCCTGCTGGGCCCGACCCTGCCGTCCGCCGCCAAGGACAAGACCGAGATCTACTACCCGCAGGACCCCTTCAGCGAGGGCGTGTACATCGACTACAAGCACTTCGAGGCCCGCAACATCACCCCGCGCTTCCCCTTCGGGTTCGGCCTCACCTACACCGACTTCACGTACAGCAACCTCGTGGTCAATACCACGACCACCGCGGCCACAGGCCCCACCCCGCCGGATCTGGATGGCGTCGTCGCCGAGGGCGGCCTCCCCTCCCTCTGGGACGTGTTGGTCACCGTCTCGTGTACGCTGGAGAATACCGGCGCTGTGGCGGCTAAGGAGGTCGCGCAGCTGTATGTGGGCATCCCCGGTGGACCGGCGAAGGTGCTGCGCGGGTTCGTCAAGGAGCTGGTGGAGCCCGGTCAGAAGAAGGAGGTCAGCTTTGCGTTGACGAGGCGGGATTTGAGTACCTGGGATGTCGGGGTGCAGAGTTGGGTCTTGCAGCAGGGGGAGTATGGCTTGTTTGTCGGGAAGAGTGTGGCTGATGTGTTGTTGACGGGGTCGGTGGTGTTTTAGGTTGGGGATGGGTCTTGGGGGAGGATGGCTTATGAGTGTCTGTATTTGTATGGATATAATGAATGAGATGGGTTATTGCTCTATGTATTCTTTTTTCTCTGGATTCTTGATTGGGCAGAGGGGGGGTATAATTCAAGGGGCAAGGGGGTTGGGTGTTGATGCAGCGGGTGAGGAGATATGTTGTAGTGGGAGTGTGGTGGTGGTGGTGGTAGAGAGGATCTACAACATGTACGTGTTTACAAGTATAACTGCAACAACACACAGCTGAACTAAGAATGTACATTACATTTTCTTACTGCCTAGTATCACACTTCTATACATACACCCACATCTACCGCAACCATCCCTTGGGACCGCCCCACGTACCGTTCACCAAGTTGTTGTAATACACCCACGGGAAGAAGTTCTTCTTCAGCTGCCAGAACGCCCTGCGGGGCACGGCCTGGTCAATGCCGAACCAGCCCCCGAACGTCTCCTTGGGCACGCCCGCGTACTTGAACTCGGCCAGCAGCACCTTGCCGTACTCGGTCGTCAGCGGACACGAGGTGTACCCGTCGTACTCCGCGTCGGGCGCCTTGCCCTCGGCCGCGCGCAGCAGGTTGCGCACCAGGACGGGCGCCTCAGCGGTGATGGCCGCCGTGGTCTTGGAAGTGGGCAGACTGGAGGCGTCGCCGATCGACCAGACGTTCTTGAACTTCTTGTGCTGGGTGGTGGCGGTGTCCACATCCACGAAGCCCGCCGCGTCGGCCAGGGGCGAGTTCTTCACGAACGCGTGG